CAGGGTCTAATTTCCCCGGGGAGTTTCCAAGACGGTAACTCTTCACAAGAGTAGAAAGTCAAGTCAATTCCCTCTAAAGGCATTTAGATGTTCACTTTTGGATACTGGGACGTCATTGGGGATTCTAAGCAGTGGACTGATGCAGTCAGTTTTGTGAGCTTTAAAGATGTTTCTAAACCAGATAAGGGGACCAAGAAGAGGAGCATTCCTGTGATGGCTGTTGTCCAGGTGAGAGAGGGGGACGGCTGGCATGGGGTCAGAGGTCAGTAAATGTTTAAAAACAAAATTACAACTGGGGACAGTGAACTGTGCTCTGAACTGAGATTTCACCACTGAACCAACAGACCACAGCATGAAAAACAAAGAAAAGACCAGATCTGTCAAGGATTTCATTGGCTATAGATCCACAATCAACACCCACCGAAGCAGCAGGCGAAGAAATCAAAGGACATATGGCACTGGGAAAACCCGCTGCAAGAGACCTCCCTCTTTTAGTGTTCAAAAGCCAAGCCGTCACTTCGAGAACAAGGTGCACATGACTCATGCTGTGGGATTTTCAATCGCCTCACTGGCATGTGACAGCCGGACAGCGAAGAAGCAGCTGGGAGAACCAGGCGGACAATGGGCACCCTGTAATTATGGTGTTGGAGGAGTAGATTGATGAAATCTGTGATGGTTGCATAAGCTGTGTCAATTTCAGAGGATTAAGAGTGAAGGGGTGGAGTCTCGCCTGTCAATCAGGTCTTAGCTTGATGACCTCATTTGGCGGCACTAAGGAGATACATAGCTTGATGGAGGCAGGACGCAGACTTACTCCCTGGGAGACATTGCAGCTGACAAGACACAAGGAGCTGTGTTAGTGCCCTGTTAGTGCCCTGAGCTGGAGGAGCCACGTGGAGACCCCTGCCACCGCTGATATGCTTACAACGCCGCTGGATCCACAAGACTTCCCACTCACGGGCCTATGATCTTCCTGCATTCGGCATCCTGCCATGTGTTTCGTGAGTCTGAAGAGGACTTTATAGATTGGTATCGGACACATCAGCTAATATCAGACTTATGGACTTGATCTGGACTGGGGCTGGGATGTTTTCTCAATATTCAATTGTTCTTGTAGATAAAGCTCTTTCTTACACACATATGAGTGTCTCCCTGGATTTGTTTCTCTAGTTCTACCCAGACGAACACAATATCCACAGGCTGCGGGAAGAACAAACAAATTTTTGTTGGGAGATCTACAGGCAGAAAGCTCCTTAGACATGAGAATGATGAGACTGTCCTTTAGACGTGTCACCAGGAGAGACCAGTCCCCGGAGAAGGACATCAGGCTTGGTAAATCAGAAGGTCAGCAAAATAACGAGGAAGCCCCTGTGAGATGGATTGACACCGTGGTTACAGCAATGGGCTCAAACAGCAAGGAGAGTGACCCGGGGACAGGCCTGGGCAGTGCTTTGTTCGGCTGTGCACGATGGCTTCCGATCAGAACTGACCCCCACATCTGCACTCTCAGATGAGGCCTGCTTTCCTGCGTTACGTGTTAATAGCATGCTAAGAACGAGGAAAGCATAAGTTGTGCTTGTGAGGCTCTGAACCAATCTCAGGCTGCGGCTCTCCCGCTCAGGGGGCCACACGTCGCCCCGCAGCAAAATGTGATCTCGGAGCCGTGAGCGCTTAGAACTTTCTGGCACTCTCTTTCCTTTCTGCTCTTTTCCTGCGTCCTCTCTGGCCCGCTTCAAAGTTCCCCCAGAGAAAGTGGGGGGAGACACAGCTGAGCAGACAAAACGGTGACACGGTGGACGCCTTTTGTTCGGGTTTAGTCACCGCCGCTTTCAAATTGTCACAAAAACACACAGATGCGGGTCATTTTTTCTTTTCTTTTTTCCAAACCAATCGCCAAGCAACGAAAGCAGCCGACCCGCGCGCCAGCATGGGGTACAAAACACATTCGCAGCACGCACGCTGACTCGCAGCTTCTCCAACCGCAAACACGGCGCCGAACAGCCAATTTTATAATTAGCTGGGAATCGGTCCCCAGGGAAGCGTCTGCTCCGTGAGAATGGCCAAGGCTGCCGGGGGAGAGGTCTGCGCGCCTGGACCTGGCATGGCTTTGTTTGACTCCATCTGAGGGGGTTTCGGGCCAGAGCTCAGTGTGTGGGCAGGACCCTGGCAAGGCACCAGCCAGGTGCAAAATGAACACAGGTTCACCTTCATCAGAATTTCAAGATGACCACAGAGCCTTCCTTCATCCAGGTGCAGAGCCCTAGTGGCTACAAGGAGTCCCCGCGGGTGGTCCCCAGGGCTGCTGACCACACTGAGGAGCCTGGGGCTGCGGGAGGGCGATGTGGCAGTCTGCCCCTGTGGTGAGAACAGCTTTGCCCTGGGTAAAGTGGGAGGGAAATGAGGACCCAAACTCAAAATCGCCAAGGAAACTGGGTTTTCTGGTCAAGACAGATGGGTGGGACCTCCTCTCCCCGAGACCAGAGCCCTAGTTCACCCTTCGGGGCTGGAACGGACCTGTGTTCCAAAGATTAACTGTCTGAGACCCCAAAGGGCAGCCTTGAGCAAGGACAAAGGTCCCAGGGTGAGGAAAGCAGGGGAATGGAGACCGGCCACACAGGGTGGAGGTGGGCTGAGTGAGGGGCATCGAGGGGTCTGGCATCGAGGGGTCTGGAACAAAGTGTATCTGGAGACTATGGAACATAAGACTGGTGATCAGCTCTGGCTATCGTCCCCTTGGTCACAGTAAAAAGCTTTAAATCATTTTAAAAATAAGTGACAGCCTGAGAAACCCCATGAAACAGCGGTGGGGCTCCATCTGACGGGGTCTTCTTGGTTTGGGTGCTATTACAGGGATTCCCCCAGGTGGTGGGGCGGTGAACACACCTGCTGCTCACTAAAGGTTCCAGTCCACCGGAAGGCACCTCGGAAGAAAGGCCTGGTGATCCACCCTGGAATGATCAGCCTTGCAAACCCTGTGGAGTGCAGCTCTACTCCAACACACCTGGGCTCACTCACCACACGTTGGAGTCGACGGTTTGGCTGCTCCAGCTCCAGGATCACCACGGGGCTCCCCAGGCCCAGGCTGCACCTGACACTGACTTCCTCATCGCGGGTCCCTTGGTTGGACAGCTGGAGAGGCACAGATGGCTGTGCAGTCCGGTGCTGAGGACTGCCGACTCCTGACCTAGCAAGGAAGGGGTGTTCCTGTGTTATAAATGAAAAGTCAGGGCTCCACAAGTCGGATTCCCAAATAAGGAGGTTTGAGTAGGGAGCAGAGAGTAGACATGGCTGGTTCCAGTCCGGGGAGGTGGTCAGGTGCTGTACTGGCATGTG